CTGAAAGTATATATGCATCTATATATTGCATCTAGCAGTACTTATTTATTAACAAAAACATTTGATGAATTTAATCAATTACAATAAATAGAATATTTATTGTACTTGAAATTATTTTTTGCATAAATAAATTTTTTAATAAAAACTTTAAAGTAATTGTGATGAACACCCAAAAACTATTTTCTAATACATTAACTTACCGGTAAACGGTAACTTAGTTGTAGTAGCAAAAAACTAAAATTGCATCTCTTTACTTATTTTAATTAATTTTTCTATATATCAGAATTTGACATGCGAAGCTGAATTGCTGGATAGACAAAAATCCTATCGAATATTAACTATAAATCTTTATTATAATTAAGCTAAACTATAGTTTGATAAAAATAACCCGGTGTTAAAACACTGTTATTGTATGAAAATAATTTACTGTATTGTTCCAGTATTAAACATTATATTTTTGAAAGAACCATTAATTTTTTGATTTACAACTCTCATAAACTAGATTAATTACAACTACAAGCCATATAAACACTGATAAATATTAATAGTATAATTAATAGTTTTTTCATGAATAATATTCAATGAATAACCATGAACTTAAATGGTCTACATTTATTAATGTTTCATAGAATGAACATTCTCATTATGTCCAGTAATTATTTATTAAAGAACTCAAGGAATTTACAGATAAAGAAATTTCTTGATAAATAGATCAAATTATATATCTTCAAATAATTTATTTTGAAATATTAAATATTTCATACGTACCTCATTGCAATTCATGTTGGTTTGAGTACCAGAACCGGTTTGCCAGATAACCAAAGGAAAATGATCTTCATAGAGCTGACCTGAGATAACTTCATCACATGCCTTTGAAATATTCTCACTAATTTTTGCATCCAAACCGAATTCTTTATTAACTTCTGCAGCGGCCTTCTTTAAAATACCCATAGCTTGGATTACGGGTTTCTTTAATTAAAAAAAAAAAAAAGACAACTGAAAAACCGTGATTAAAACAGTTTGTATTAATTTAACATACCGGCATACGTTCTCGTTCACCACCAATTGGAAAATTTAACTTAGAACGCATTGTTTGAGCTCCATAATACTTATCAGCTGGTACCTTTAACTCACCGAAGGTATCAGTTTCAATGCGAAACTCCTTGGAACCCTGTGAAGAAAATAGAGCATTAATGTTTTATTTATTGCCAAAACAATTTTTTTTTAGTTATTAAACTACTCTTTATATTTTAAATAATTTACCATTCTTGCTTGCTTATAACCGATTTCTATCAAGTCAAACAGAAAACTGGACATGAGATTTTTAAATTTGCGTGAGATTACACTCAAACGATAAGATTAATAGATAGAACTATGACAACAAATATACAATTCTATGTATATATATATATATTACAAATTTCAAAACAGTAAGAAAAAAATAAAATTGAAATAAGATTAAATTTTTTCAAACTGCTACTTGATTAAATTTTATTTTATGAGAAAAATAAAGTAAAATTTAAGATTAAAATTTTTTAATAGCAGCGCTTGTATCTACTTTATAAGTTATAAGAAAATATATTTGCATGAAGTAATAAATCGAACGTCTACGTCTGATTCAAAATAGTTCAGTCGTGAAAATAGATATTACAATGTGTATTTAACTGCTAATTATATTTTTAATTGTACACATTTTGTAGGTTTTACTTTCGTAGCGGTTTTAGTTAATTGGATTTCAATGTACTGCAATAATATCAGTAAATTAACTTAAATTCCATTAAATAGTTATGGTGCATTAATAATTAATATACATAAGTATAAAAACAGTTTTTTGATTCCTATCGGGGGGGCTATAGATCCTCAATCCTACGCCCTGACTAGGTAACAGCGACCAACTTCTGGTACAAAGTATTATTTACTTACTTATTTACTATGCATGTACTACTACTTGTTATTATATCTATAAATTTACTTAAGGGGTCTTTGAATAGAATTGTATGTTGATCCTCTCCTTTACTCTTTGATAGCTGGGGGTACCACAGGGTCCCACCCATCTCATTGACTAATTTGTATATCTCTTATAATCTTCATAATTATTCAGTGATTGATCTAGGATCTGCGTACCTCCCCGTGCGGAGACTGATTACTCTAAGATTAGATAGTGGTAATTAGGATAGCCTGTCAATTTTCGCATATAACTTCAGGGCTCTGTCCCTTATGTATTTTTTGACTGACCAGGTCTATTCTAAGATCTCTTAGCATATCATTCGTGCGGATGTACTATATATAATCGTTGATCAGGTTAATAAACCAATAGCTGTATGATTGATATCTTTAATTACGACAACGATTTTGATTACCAGACACTCTTGAAGGATTTGGGTTAAGAAACCTACTTTAAAGAAATCTTTTCACTACGCTATATCCACATATAGCTTATTTTTAAATATATAGCAGACCTGGGAAATCGTAATGACGTTATAAAAAGTCGTAGCTTCACATCGTTAAGAATAACTAACTTAATTACTCAATAGTTGTTTTTCACAACGAATTGAACTAGCTTAGAAAATAGCTTATCCTTGGATCCGATGTGAGGTATTAGTTCGAAAGTAATAGTGGTTTCAACCAATACTGTTATCATTATTGTATATTAATTTTTATTCATCAAGTATCTTTATTATTATTATTATTAGTTTGTTATTATTATTGTTATTAGTCATTATTATCCTATTCTTATATTCCTATTCAATTCTATTGTATCATATTATATTTTATAGGATTTGATTCCATTCTTTTCTATTCTATTTTATTATAAACTGTGGTGGCACAAATTTAAAGTAGTGAAAAAAAAATACTTTAGAATAAATATATCA